GATGAAAGGGGGAGGAGCTTGAGGGTCACCTGGGGGTCACCTGACTGAAGGGGGTGGGGCTTCAGGGTCACCTGGGGGTCACCTGAGGGAAGTGGGCGGGGCTTGAGGGTCACCTGGGGGTCACCTGAGGGGGGTGGGCGGGGCTTCAGGGTCACCTGGGGGTCACCTGAGGGGAGGGGGAGGGGCCTCAGGGTCACCTGCAGCACCCGCAAGGTCACCGGGGGGTCACGGGGGGTCACCCGGGGGGTCCTCAAAGTGTCCCCAGATGCCACCAAAGTGTCCTTGGATGTCCCCAAAGTGTCCCCAGATGTCCCCAAATTGTCCTTGGATGTCCCCAGGGGGTCCTTGGATGTCCTCAAAATGTCCCCAGGTGCCACCAGGGTGTCCTGGGATGTCCTCAAAGTGTCCCCAGAGGTCCTCAAGGTGTCCCCAGATGCCACCAGGGGGTCCTCAAATGCCACCAAGGTGTCCTTAGATGCCCTTTGGGTGTCCCCAGATGTCCCCAAGGTGTCCTTGGAGGTCCTCAAAGTGTCCTCAGACGTCCTCAAAGTGATCCCAGATGCCCCCAAGGTGTCCTTGGATGTCCTTTGAGTGTCCCCAGATGCCACCAAGGTGTCCTTGAATGTCCTCGAGGTGTCCCCAGATGCCACCAAACTGTCCACAGATGTCCCTAAGGTGTCCCTGGACGTCCTTGGGGTGTCCCCAGATGCCACCAAGGTGTCCTGGGATGTCCTTGGGGTGTCCCCAGATGCCACCAGGGGGTCCTTGGATGTCCTCAAAGTGTCCCCAGATGCCACCAAGGTGTCCCTGGACGTCCTTTGGGTGTCCCCAGATGCCACCAGAACGTCCTTAGATGCCACCAAGGTGTCCCTGGATGTCCCCAAGGTGTCCCTGGACGTCCCTTGAGGGTCCTTGGATGTCCTTGAAGTGTCCCCAGATGTCCCCAAGGTGACCCTGGATGTCCCCAAAGTGTCCCCAGATGTCCTCAGGGTGTCCTTGGATGTCCTTTGGGTGTCCCCAGACGCCACCAGAGCATCCTTGGATGTCCCCACGTTGTCCCCAGATGCCACCAGGGTGTCCTCGGATGTCCCCAAAGCATCCTTGGATGTCCTCAAAGTGTCCCCAGAGGCCACCAAGGTGTCCTTGAACATCCTCAGGGGGTCCTTGGACGTCCCCAGATTGTCCCCAGATGTCACCAAAGTGTCCTTAGATGTCACCAAGGTGTCCTTGGATGTCCTCAAAGTGTCCCCAGATGCCACCAGGGGGTCCTCAGATGTCCTTTGGGTGTCCCCAGATGCCACCAGGGTGTCCTTGAACATCCTCAGGGGGTCCTTGGACGTCCCCAGATTGTCCCCAGATGTCACCAAAGTGTCCCCAGATGTCACCTGAGGGTCCCTGAAGGTCCCCAGGTTGTCCCCAGATGCCACCAAGGTGTCCCTGAGCATGCCCAGGGTGTCCTGGGAGGCCGCCAGCGTCTCCTCCAGCGTCACCAGCGTGTCCTTCACCCGCCCCGGGGGGTGACCCGAGGCCACCAGGGCGTCCCCAAAGGCCACCAGGGTGGCCTTGAACGTCCCCAGGGTGGCCTTGGGTGTCCCCAAGGGGTCCTTGGACGTCCCCAAGGTGTCCCCAGATGCCACCAAGGGGTCCTTGGGTGTCCTTTGGGTGTCCCCAGGTGCCACCAGGGGGTCCTTGGATGTCCCCAAGGGGTCCCTGAAGGTCCTCGAGGTGCCCTTGGGTGTCCTTGGGGTGTCCCTGATGACGTCACTGTCACTCCTGATGATGTCACCGCCATTCCTGATGATGTCACTGCTGCCCTTGATGACGTCACCACTGCTCATGACGACATCACCACCGTTCCTGATGACATCACTGCCTCCGTTGATGACATCACTGCTCTCCCCGATGACATCACAGCCATTCCTGATGACATCACCGCTCTCCGTGATGACGTCACAGTTGCTCCCAATGACATCACCGGTGCTCATGATGACATCACAGCCATCCCTGGTGACGTCATCGCCGCTCCTGGTGACGTTGCCGCTCTCCCTGATGACGTCACCACTATGCCCGATGACGTCACAGCTCTCCCTGATGACGTCACTGCTCTCCCTGATGACGCCGCCGTTCCTGATGACATCACAGCTCTCCCCGATGACATCACCACCATCCCTGATGACGTCACTGCTCCTCCTGCTGATGTCACTGCTCTCCCTGATGACGTCACTGCTGTCCCTGATGATGTCACCGTCGTTCCCGATGACATCACTGCTCTCCTTGATGACATCACTGCTCTCCCTGATGACATCACCACTCTCCTCGATGATGTTGTCGCCATTACTGATGACGTCACAGCTCTCCCCAATGACGTCACTGCCATCCGCGTCGCCCCTGCTGACGTCACCTCCGTCCTTGATGACGTCATTGACACCCTTGATGACATCACCGCTGCCCATGATGTTGTCACGGACTCCATCGATGACGTCACCGGCTTTGTCGATGACGTCACCGGCTCTGTTGATGACGTCACCGCCGTCCCAGCGGAAGGTGGGCGCCCGCAGGAGGCTCCGGCGGGGGGAGGGACTGGTGGCACTGGGAGAGACTGGGAGGGCACTGGGAGGGGTCCTGGTGACACTGGGAGCGACTGGGAGGGCACTGGTGGCCCTGGGAGGGGTCTGGGGGGCACTGGGAGCGACTAGGAGGGAACTGGGAGCAACTGGGAGGGCACTGGGAGGGACTGGGAGGGCACTGGGAGGGGTCCTGGTGATACTGGGAGCGACTGGGAGGGCACTGGTGGCACTGGGAGGAGTCTGGGGGGCACT